TCCAGTAGAGTTTTACGGCCTTGACCGTTACATACAGCGATTGTTCCAGATTCTCTGAATCTTTTGATGATGTTGTAGTGAAAGTGTGTGGGACAGCTTAACTGTCGCTTCACTACTAATTAATTATTCTTAACGCTAGTTCAAGCACATCCATCCATCCATTATCTTTACCCGTTTATTCCATTTTGGGTCACGGGGGTCGCTGGTGCCCATGTCCAGCAATCACTGTGAGAGGAGCAGGGTACACCCTGGACAGGTCGCAAGTCCATCACAGGGCCACATAGAGACAAACAACCATGCACTTTCACTCACACCTAGGGACAATTTAGAGTTACCAATTAGCCTAACATGCATGTTTTTGGTCTGTGGGAGGAAACCGGAGTACCCGGAGAAAACCCACGCATGCACGGAGAGAACATGCAAACTCCACCCAGAAGGCCCCTGGACCAGGGTTTGAACCAGGGACCTGTTCGCTGAGAGGCAGCAGCTCTACCAGTTGCGCCACCGTGCTGCCCCTAGTTCAAGCACAAAGAATATTAATTCTTTAAATACAACGGATTCTTTCTTTTTCGAGTTAAATTAATGTCATGTGATGAGATAACTGTGAGGATTGTTTAATCAGTGACAGGAGACGCCATTTTCTTTGACCCATCAGATTAAATGCGGTCATTTATTTAACAGAATCAAAATTTAACATCAAAACATGTACACTTGATTTGCTGATCTGGTTCTGATTAATAAAAACTTGGCACACTTTACTAACAAGACAACAGAACATTTCTGAAGGCATCTAGATGGATTTACTGGTGAAAAGATTTACAAGAGGAGAGATTTAGAGGTTTAAGAGGAGATGGATGAAGGAAAGATGTATGTTTTGTTGACCAGAATTAGCACGCTTCTTTCAACACCAGCTCAAACCTCCGGTACACTCGGTGCGTGACGACTTGTTACCTTTGCAGAAGATAAATCAACTCCGGTACAGGGTCCATTTCAATGCTACCTTTCCAGCGTCTCCGGTTAAAGCGGCTGGTCATTGTCAGAAGTCGTGTGGTTTACTCCGTCAAACAGAACAAGCTTCCTTCGAAGTTGTAGGGCGTTACGCCCGGGTGAGTTCACAACGAGGCGCTGTAACTCCGCTGGGATGGACGAACCCTTTGCACATGGTCTCATTCCATCAGCTTCTCAGTTCAGCTGGAAGACTTCATAGTTCCACTCCAAAGTGGAAGACTGAGTCCGAAATTCCACTCAGAAGTGGAAGACTCCTGGGAAGACTTAGGAAGACTCTGGTCAAAGACTGCCTAGTTCCAGGAAGTGTTGACTTTTAAAGAGTCCTCACTTCCGGTCACTTGGTACTTCCTGATTGGTTGAAACAACCAACAGGGGGTGGTTCTAGTGATGTCAGAGGGTTATTAAAAGTCAAGAGAGGATGCAGGAATGTTTAGGAACGTTTAGTACAGACAGAGAAATGTTATGGCGAAGTGAGACAAACGCAGATGCCAGTTGCAGTTATTTACCGTCTGCTAGGTTTAAAATCAAGACACTTCCTTCTAATAACTCGCTTTCTGACTGTCTCTGACCAACCAATCAGGAAGTACTAAGTGACCGGAAGTGAGGACTCTTTAAAAAGTCAGCACTTCCTAGAACTAGTCAGTCGGACTCAATCTTCTTGACTCTTCAGTCTTTGATCTGAGTTGAACTCAGTCTTTGATGGAGTCTTCTCAAGCCTTCTGGAGTCTTCCACTTCTGAGTGGGATCTCTGACGGAGTCACAGATCCTTGCTGTGAACTCACCCGGGTGTAACGCCTACAACTTCGAAGGAAGCCTGTTTGTTGAACGGAGTAAATCGACACGACTTCTGACAATGACCAGCCGCTCTAACCAGAGATGCTGGAAAGGTAGCGTTGAAATGGACCCGGTACCGGAGCTGATTCATCTTCTGCGAAGGTAATGAGTTGTCGTGCGTTAAGTGTACCGGAGGTTTGAGCTGGTGTTGAAAGAAGCGTGCTAATTCTGGTCAACAAAACTTACATCTCCATTCATCTCTTCTTTAAACCTCTAAATTCCTTCCTTTAAATGTTTCTATTTCGCCAGTAAATCCATCTAGATGCCTTCAGAAATGTCCTGTTGTCCTATTAGTAAAGCGTGCCAAGTTTTATTAATCAGAACCAGATCAGCAAATCATGTGTACATGTTTTGATGTTAAATTTTGATTCTGTTAAATAAATGACCGCATTTATTCTGATGGGTCAAAGAAAATTAACGTCTCCTGTCACTGATTAAACAATACTCACAGTTATCTCGGTCACATGGCATTAATTTAACTCGAAAAAGAAAGAACCCGTTATATTTAAATAATTAATTAGTAGTGAAGGTACAGTGAAACTCAAAGTTTGTTTTCTCAGTCATCCAGGTATATAACAACAAAAAAGGTCGAATCATGTCATCTGGACTTCGTTTTTTTTGTTAAAAAGAAACGTTTCGCCCCTCATCCAAGAGGCTTCGTCAGTCTGAGGCCTAGACATCTGGTATTACCCAGAAGCCACCCTGACTCTTGTGTTTCAAGCCTGCCTCAGATACCCCTGAAGTCTGGCCTTTTCACTAATGGTTTCAAAAACACAAAGTTTGTTTTCTCAGTCATCCAGGTATATAACAACAAAAAAGGTCAGTGAAACTGTACCCCACATTTTATTACACCCCTCAGGCAGGAGGTTGAGGAGCATTAAGTGTAGAACCACTAGACTAAGGAACAGCTTCTATCCTGAAGCTGTTAGACTCATGAATCTCTAATCAGAATAATCACTGTGAAAATAATCAGTGTAATGCCACTTGATTATGCCTTGTAACTGCGACTTTCCTTCCCTCCATTCATTACGGCAACATTATTTACATGAACGCCCCTACAAGAACCCTGCAGATGTTGGATGCTGTCTGTCATGGTGCACTAAGTTTCATAACTGGCTGCAACTACCTTAACCATCACTGCACCCTGTATTCACTGGTTAACTGGTCATCATTAACTTCACGCAGACTTTCCCACTGGTACATTTTCATCTTTAAATCACTTCCTGGTCTGCTGCCTTCATACATCTCCTCCTATATGTCTCTGCGTGAGTGCAGCTACAGCGTGCGCTCTCAGGACATTATTACCTGCAGTGTTCCCTCAATGAGGACTGAACTTGGCAAAAAGGCCTTCTCCTACTCCGCTCCTGTTTCCTGGAATATCTTGCAAAAAGATCTGAAGCTCTCGACCTTGACCTCTCTAAGTGACTTTAAGAATCTGTTGGACTCCTGGCAGGGACCAATGCTGACATGTTCCTGTTTTTAGTTTTCTAAATTGTCTTATGATCTAGCTGTTTTTTTGCTACTATTCCTGTTGATTGTCCTTTTGGTGACTTTTTTGTTTTTATTTGTTAAAAAAAAAGAGAAACTTAAATTTGTATGCCTATGCCTATTTTATGATTGTCTATTGTTGTCGTTGTTATCCACTGTTGTCATCACTCTTTGTTAAGAAATCAGGTCTCTCTTGTAAATGAGTCCCTGAGGCTCAATGGGATTAACCTGTCTAAATAAAGGTTGAATGAATGATTGTTATGTGCTGCTGACTATCCATGTTGCTGATCTTATGCTGCTGATTTATTCATGCTGCTGTGTTCATTTGTACTCATCTGCTCACACAGACTTGGGTTCGTGTTGTTGTTTGGCGTATTGTTTTTATACTACTAGTGCTTAGCGTAGTCTTAGTTTAGCGTATTTCTTAGTTCATATCTTAGATCTTACTACTGTTTTTTTTTTTACAATTTATACTTTTGTTAGATGTAACTAGGACCCTGTGTGCACAATTTCATTCCATCACATGTACCACATGAGGTGCAAATAACAATAAAGAAACCTTGACCTTGACCTATGACTCCTTAACCTTTGGATCTAGTCCACTCAAAGAAGGCTGCCACACTGAGCAAAATGGATGCACCTCAGCCACATATAAAGATATTTGTCCAACAGTTGGCGTGGTATAGTAGCTGAGAGTCGTTTACAACACGGTGGGGGCGGCTGTGGCTGAGTGGTTAGAGCAGTCGTCCTCCAATGCGAGAGCTGGGGGTTTGAATCCACCAGCAGTCACATGTCGAAGTGTCCCTGGGCAAGACACTGAACCCCTCGTTGCCTCTGATGTGTGTCCCATCAGTGTATGAATGTGATAAAGCTCTGATTAGTCTCTTTAGAATGATTTGTTTAAATAGCTTTGTAGAGATCTAGTATAGAGCTGTATGAATGGGTAAATGAGGACACAGATTGTAAAGTGCTTTGAGTATCTTGAAATAAGATAGAAAGGTGTTATATAAGTACAGTCCATTTACCATTTAACACTTCCTCTGAGCATTCACACATTGCACATACTCTAACATTAATGCAAAAGAAGTTACTTTCAAAGTTTACTTTCTGTGTTCGTCTGTCTCTCCTTCCTGTCCTCTCAAACCAGCCGGTCAAAGCAGATGGCCGCTTGTCCTGAGCCTGGTTCTGCTGGAGGTTTCTTCCTTTTAAAAGGGAGTTTTCCTTTCCACTGTTGCCACTGTGCTTGCGCAAATTGGGAAAATATGACAAAGTGAAGATTCAACAATTCTGCTGGCTTCCTTTCATAGCAAACTTTACCAATTAGCTTTTCTATATATGTGAATGTTTTTGTAAAGTATCCTGAGTCAACTTTGTTGTGAATTGGCGCTATATAAATAAACTGAATTGAACTGAAAGTTTGACCAACCTGGCCACAATTGTCAGTTCTCATCATAAAATGATCTGTGATGAAAACTGACCTTTGATTAAATCCTACAATTTAGAAAAAAAACATATTGACAAGTGATTGACCTTAACAGTATTTCCTGGTGTTTAAATATTATTTTCTGTAGTTTGACTGATGTTTAATTTTGCCAGAGATTTTTCTGTTCAACATAAAAGGAAAGAAAGTGAACAGTTTTGATCATTTATATTTTGTTCTGTGATTGTAGGTTGATGGACCAGAGGATGTTCCAGATACAGAAGACCCATCCAAGTTCCAGTCTGTGGGGGTACAAGTGGAGGATGATAGAGGGTGAGACCAGCTCTTTGTTGTTGTTGACTTCTGCTCATGGACTCCAAACAACTTTGCAAAATAAAGAAAACCTTGAAGAAACTGAAGGTGCAGGACACTAGAGTTATTTTGAAGGTTTTGATTTGGATTTAACATATGTTGGGATTTTTGTAGAATGGAATTCGCACCTCTAAGCTTTCTCTGCAAGAAAAAACAGATAATTTAGAAATTAAATAAAAAAAAATGCACTTAACACCTAACAACGTTGCTATCTGTAGGGACGCATGTGTATTCTGCGTAGACAACTTTTGATTGGAGTTCAATGTGTGTGTGTGTGTGTTGTATGTTGTATGTAGTTCATTGTCACTTATAAGAACATGAATGCATTATTAAAACCACAACAACCAGTTCCACTACAAGTCGGACCAGTAAGGTAGTAACGGAAAAAGTGCAATGTCTTGTTTGGATGAATTCATATTGTCCGTCAAATTTTCACCCAATTTTTAACCAGTACAGGCAAAAGAGAGCACATTACACCAGTTTTGGCCTCACTGCACTGGTTACCGGTTCACTTTCAAATCCAGTTCAAAATATTCATGTATGTCTACAAATCACTGAACAGTGTCGCCCCCCCATCTCTCTGATCTGCTACAACCGTATGTCCCACCACGTTCTCTGAGGTCAGCGGACCAGTTGCTCCTCACAGTTCCAGGAACTCGTCTTAAGTGCAGAGGTGACAGGGCCTTCTCTGTAGCAGGACCAAGACTTTGGAACGAGTTACCTCTGCTTGTCAGACAGGCCCCCTCCCTCTCGGTTTTCAAGTCCCGTTTAAAAACTCACTACTATTCAGTAGCTTTCAACACAAGATGATCTGTGTTTTGATCCTGTATGCTCCACACTGGTTTGTCGTCATTATCTGCATCGGTTTTATGTCTATATTTCTGATTTACCTCATTTTGTATATTGCTTTATGTGTTACCTGTTGTTTTGTCTGTACAGCACTTTGGTTGGCCTTGTTGCTGTTTTAAGTGCTTTATAAATAAAGTGGTATGGTATGGTATGGTATGGTATGGTATGGTATTTCATACCAGAGTTTAAACCAAGATTATTTTATGTTGAGAAATGAAAAGGTTTGAACAAATGTTGCCATTTTACTACTCTGTTATGGCCGTAAAAAAAAAAAAGTGCATTTAGAAGAATTCTGTTTTTTCTTGTAACTGTTTGATGCTGATGCTGTTCTAGACTTCACCAAAATGTGAAACAGTCAGCTTAAACATAGATCGACAGTAATGTTTTTCTCTTTTAAACCTTTATTGTAAATGTTAGGAAAGGCTTAGCCCTGCAAGTCCATTTATACCAGCAGTCCTTGCTCTTAAGTATTTCCTGTTTGTGTCTCCCCCATGGTTAGTTACAGAAGATTCCAGCGCTCCAACAGTGTGACAGCAGCAGTGCAGGTAAGTTTCCACAAGTTTCTTTACACTGAGTTCATAAAACTTAATGACAGACTTTCAGAGTCAGAGATTCTTTATTGTCGTTCCACGACATGTGGTACATGTGGTGGAATGAAATTATGTACACAGGGTCCCAGTTACATCCAACAACATAATGTAAAAGAAAAACAATGATAACATCGAAGATATGAACTAAGAAAAACATCCACTAAAAATATACTAAGCACCAATAGCATAAAAACATTACGTCGAACAGCAGCACAAACATGAACATGAATGAGTCTGTGTGAGCAGATGAGCACGCATGAACACATCAACATGAAACAGATCAGCAGCAACATGAAACAGATCAGCAGCAACATGATGTGATTTTTCACAGTGATTATTCTAGTTAGAGATTCATGAGTCTAACAGCCTCAGGGTAGAAGCTGTTCCTCAGTCTAGTGGTTCTACACTTTATGCTTCTCAACCTCCTTCCTGAGGGGAGCAGGGCTAAAAGTGTGTGTGTGTGCTGGGTGAGTGGGGTCCTTCATGATGCAGGTGGTCCTCTTCCTGCATCTAGAGGTGTAGATGTCTGTGATGGTGGGGAGGCTGATTCCAACACTCTTCTGTGCAGCCTTCACCACTCTCTGCAAAGCTTTTCTTTCTGCAACTGTGCAGCCTCCATGCCACACGTTGATGCTGGAGCACAGGATGCTCTCCACTGCACACCTGTAGAAGGAGGTGAGGACTGAGCTTCCCAGACCAGCTCGTCTCAGCCGTCTGAGGAAGTAGAGTCTCTGATGAGTATCCTGATGCATGCTCAATAATCCAGGTAGAAAAATCCAAAAAAGTTCAATCTGGTCCTCTGGACATTCAAAAAAACAAAAGCAAAACAAAGCAAAAAAAAATCTAGAAACGTTTCGTCTCTCATCCAAGAGACTTCCTCAGTCTGAGGTGCTGTTTTCAGCTCAGTCTCTTAAATAGCACCTTCTTAGAGTGGATCAACCAGTTTGCTGCTGACAACCAAAACCAGCTGATCACATGCTCAAGAAGGAC